GCTTTCGTTTGTAATCTGTTTGTTGTTAGAGTTTTAGTAACCATTAATAAGTCCACACAGACAAACAGTCTGTGTGGACTTATTAATAGAAAAAGAAGAACTGCGTTTATCAGAATGTAGTATTGAAACTGTAAAATGATGACTGAGCCTTTTATTGGCTTTTTCTAATGTGCCTGAATTCTTACACGAGGCAGAGCAAAAATATTTTAGCCTGGATAGCTGTTGACCTGATTAAGTGATGTTACACTTGTCCTAAATCAGATTATTTAATGAAAAAGTGTAAGGTCTTGAAGAAGATTTATTTATTGGGAGTGAATCTCAGCTATACTTTTATTACTTTTTTCGTTGGGCAAACTAATTTAAATGAAAATGTGAGTGTGTGGTGCTGAAGAGCGACTCTAATAATCTGAATAAACACTGTCATCTTAAAGGCCTTTAACCCTCTCAAGGCAGGTGTTGCCGATTTGCAACAGCTAAAAACTAACAACCTGATTACCCCACATACATATTTTATTTTATTTTGTTCTACTCAGAAGTACAACTGCAGGACTTGGTTGTGCATTAGCAACAAAAAGTTTAATTTGATCCTGAGAGGGTTAAACAGAAAGAGCAAAACCTTGCAGATGCATTTTCCCTTTTGAGCAAGTTGCCCTGCAACAATAGGAGAAACTTACCAGTAGATCATTTTTGTCCACTTTTTTACATTCAAAATCTTTCCACTAGAGAAAATAACAGAAAAAAATTACATACATAGAAATAAATTCTATAAATTCACAGTTCTGCATGTTCCACTGAATTCAAGGCCACTATTATTTCAAGCCACTAAAATGTGCTGAACATTTATAAAACTGATTCAAAGTCTGGATTTTTAAAAATTACTGGCCACAACCTCCACAGATGAACCTGCACTGTTGTTCACAACTACTACATAACTGTGATATATGTACCACACTTTCTGTGTCTCAATGTAGTAACCGTCACAATGACTGAAAAAACCTTTATTCTAGAGTCTCAGCTCATACCAGCTTTTTCTTTTTTCTTAAAACAGTCTTTGAGAGCGACACCTCGCATCTGCAATGATCTGGAAGGAGTATTCAACACAACCGTGTGTGGTTTGAGCCTTCCTGTTTATGGCAGCAGATCCTCTGTGAGTCATACTGCAAGCAGATGCCCTCCTAACAGACAAAATCAAGTTTCACAAACGCAAAACTGAAACTTTAGTCTTAGCAACCGGCGTCTGCTGTGTAGAAATTCTCATCTATGAATCAGGTACGTCTTTGTCATTTTTTCCCACAAAAACATGACGATTGAATGTTCTTTCACGTCTCTGTAACAACTGCTGCAAACAGGTACTACTGTCCAACATAATACAAAGGCAAACATTTTCTCTAAAATATTTACTTTGATTTTTAAAGCAATACCTTTTTCATCCTCAATGATAATCAATACTCCCACAGGACCAGCATCCTGACCAAAGATTATCATGGCAAAATATGAAATTAAAGTAAAATAAACAGTATCAGTATAAAAAGTATCAGTATTGGCACACTGCATCTGTTTTAGTATTATATATAGGATAAGGCACTTAATTACTCTACAGCAAGAGACCGTCCACCAGACCTGATGATCAAACTTAACAGAATACTTTTTATGTAAAAAGTATCTTCACTGGTTATTATTTAGTAATTAATGTATGTTTGAAGACACTTTTCAGGAGCATGTTCGAGCAGCCATTGCACTTGTCATTAACTTTGCCATTCTGCTATTATGTGGTGGGTAGGTACTATAAAGCAAAAAAGGCAGAAAAAAAAATCCTACAACACATGGAAGATGTCATGGTACGGCTGTGTGGCAGGCAGGAGACACTCAGACATAGGAAAAAACTAGTGATGTGACGTTCTGTATCGAGGCTTCGAAGCTTGTGTCGAGTAATTGAGGCGGCGTTTCCGCGATGCGCGTATCGAGGCTTGCTTCATTTATGGGAGGAGCTGAAAATGATGACGTCCGAAGCCTCGC